ATGTTATGTGCACAATAAACGAGATATGGAGAGAGAAAATCTTGATTTCTTTTTTTTTTCTTCCAAAAATCATGCAATAATCTAATTGGGTGTGGTTTGTTCTTTTTAAAATTGACTTATTATCTTTCTTAATTAAATATAATTAAAACTGATTAACGGTTAATTAGGCCTCATTTAACACCTGACTCCCTTAAATTATTATTATAGAACGTATATATGATGAAAAGATTTGTTTTCCGTAAATGTGATATTATTTCCACAAGCTTCTGTAAAGGGAGTAAATTTCTCATAGTATTTGCTTGTAGGTGACTCCTATTCATTCAAGGGAAATTTACATATATGGAGACCCTATAGTAAAATATTTACATATATACGTTTTTAATAATTTTTTATCAACATTGGATTTGGAGGAAATATTTTTTTTTATATATACGAAACCACAATTCATGCACATGGTATTAAGTTTCTCTCTCTTCATATTAAAGGCTAAAAAACTGTCCACTATTAATTGGTATGAAGTTTCTCTCTCTTCATATTAAATGTGCAGCGTTGTTCTCCGTGAAATCTTGTTAAAAAAATTCATATGTATTGTATATATTGTCTCGTAATAACGAAATATATGTTTTGATATACAATATATAAACATCAAATAAACATGATTTGACATTTCTCCAATATTAACCGTATAATTATACATAAGATAAACAACATATAAACAATATTGGTATATATACACAGATAAACATGATCTGATATTTCTCCAATATTGACCGTATAGTTATACATACGATAAACAACATATAAACAACATTGAAACGGTATAAAACATAATACATGCTTCTGAATGACTGCAAAATCTAAATCGAATTTAGTTATACATTAGATAAACAACATATATCTACTTTACCAATATTGTAGACATATGTACTTTTCTCTCTCGTCCGTCGGTAGAACTGCTCGACTCGCCAACAATTGATGGATGTCTTGTCGCCAGCCTTGTTATCGCCCTCAGCCGCAGCTGTTGTTCTCCGCAGCCCACAAAAATCACATCGCCCGCGAGTGGCCTGGTGCTCGTAAATTACTCAGTCGCGTACCCCTGCTCTCGACTCCTTCTCTGTCAGGTCGTCGACTCTCGTCTCTGCCGTGGACAACTGGGCCTTCTCGTGCCTGGTTGCTGGGTTGGCGGCTTTCAGACACCGGCTGTGTTGCCCTCCTCGCCGTCTAACTAGTGCCAGAAAGCCGATAGAGACGGTGGGAAGATTTGATGGGAGGCAGGCTTGAGAAGAAATTCGGGCCGACTTGCTCTGAAGCTTGGTTTAAATTAATTGAGATTTGCTGCTGAGATTTAGGCTTCACATGGTGTTGGTGATTAGGGTAGGGCTTCTTGAATCTGTTGGTGGTGGCGGCTGAGAAGAGGAGTTGGATAAATAATTATCTGGAAAGAGAAAATCATAGTAAGTCTTAATTAATCAAACTTCGTAACTTTCAATTTAAGTTACAAGTATCGTACTTTTGATAATATTTAACAAAGGAGTTGTAGGAGGTGTAATTTTCTCTTCATTCAATCATCATAAATTAGTAAGCCCAATCATAAATGGGCCGACCCAAATTGTGGCATCGTGTGGACCACGCGTTGTCACGTTCCCCCAATGTTCGAGCTGAACTCCATTTCTATCCTACAAGCAGAAATCGCCCTTCCTTTTTTTTAACAGCACTCTTCAAGCTGGTTGAGCTCAGAATTTGTTGTTTTTTGCCGATCGGAAAATGCTGGGCCGTTTAACTTCGCGACGCCTTCTTGAGATCCGTCAAGCTTTCCGTCAGCTTCCCCAGGTTTTTCCGTTTCTCCATTTTTTTCGGATGGCATATTTTTTTTAATTCTTTCTGGTTCTCATTGCAAATGGTAATGGTGATTTTTTCAGACATCGAGATCATTATCGACTGCGTTGAACTATGTGAGTGGTTGATTGTGTTTTAGTTCTCTGGATGTGATAGCTGCTCTGTGGATTTTATTAGCATTTGATTTGTTGATTTTGAAATGAAATTGATTGGATAAGTTTCTGAGGTGCAGCATATCGATGGTCCGGATAATAATCCAGACCTGCCATGGGAATTCACCGATTTGAACAAGGAAAAGGTTAGTTGTGATCGGCATTTTCGGATAATTGAAAAGCTCTAGTTTGTTTTATTTGAAATTGTAATGCACTTGGTTTGAGATTTCAGTAACTGGAGAGCTTGTTTCCAGTAGATGTGCTGTTTATTGTGTTTAGCTACTGTAAGGGAGGATAGGGGTTTGCTTCCTTGGCTTGTGAATTGTAGATATCCTTGTTTGTTTCGACATATTCCTCTGTGTTGTGATCATTGGTGACATTCATGGTTCCGACTTTCATGCCGTGGTTGGAGCAAGTAGAATGATCTCTATTCTGTGTTCTTTATGATCCTTACCTTGTCTTTGTGAATATGTTCTTAGTTGAAATTGTTTGATCCATTTGAAAAAAAAAAAAAAAAAAAGTGTCAACTCTGTAGATAGTAACCTAAATGGTGCTACATTGGTGAAATGTCCATTAACAGCTTCAGCAATTGATGTTTACTCAGGTTTTCCGTGTAAATTCCCATTATGAAATTGTAATGAAGTCTATGCTTCACAATATTTTAAGAATTGACATCTTTTCTTTGGGTATGGGGGGCCGTGGGTTGGTGGTGGTCCATAAATGACATTCGTAACATTTTTAATGAGAGATGGGCAGTGAAGCTGCTAGTACATGGATTTTCATTGTTCTCTACTAAGCTATAGGTCAAGGTGTGACATGGCCAAATAAATTTGTTGTGTGGAATCAAGGTAGATGATTCTCTCGTTATATCTTATTAAAACTTTGAATTATAAATAATCTGAAATTTTCCGCAATTTATGGCAGGCTAAGGAGATATTATCGCACTATCCATCCAACTATAAGCAATCTGCTGTCATTCCTTTGCTTGATCTTGCACAACAACAGAATGGAGGTTGGCTTCCAGTTTCAGCAATGAATCATGTATGTTAATTTCGTCTTTTAAAATGGGTATAAGTCTGAATAGGATAGCACCCATAGAGATCAGTTGCGGAAGCTTGAATAAGAGAGCTGCCATGCTTCGCACTTGTCTAGTTAAGCTGCAAATTCATTTTATTTTTTAATTTAATTTTGGGATATCCTTTTAAGATATTATCAAATATTCGTGCACACTGATAAAAGCTCAATAACCTGTTACTGTGAAAGACTAAAGACGACCTCCATGAGTAATAGCAACGTTTTGCTTATATACTAAACTGTAAACCATTGTTGCAGAAAGAATGAAAAAAATTATAAAAGAAGCGCTCTACAAATATTTTGTGAATCTCATCCTGGTGATTCTGGCCTATTGCTTCATCAATATGGACATAGTAACTGCAGTTCAGTAAAAAATGTTCTTTCAGAGCAAAACCAAAATCAGATTGGGTGTCCGTTTCTTCCTAGAAGCTGATAGCGCCGACTTTTGTACACTTGTTCCAAGCGAAAATCTCTGAAATTTCTCCAGTGAGACAGTTTTGTTAGCCACCTTAGGTCTGCCACGTACATTATTGAAGATCATTGCTAATTATATAACATGCATTTAAATTGCCTTGTCCCCTAAGCAGCTTGTATACTTCATGTTCCACTTAAGGTTGATATGTTCACTTGTTAGTGTGCCAGTTTAACTCCACCCTATCAGAGAAGAAACTAGTGTTTTTCACTGCACACTTGGGTCAGTAATCGTATGATACACTTTCATTTGTCTACTAAAATATATTGGCAGTGTGAGGTCTTATGATTGGTCTCATGACTCATAGGATATTCTGTCTCTTACTTGATGCTTCAATATATAGTTATTAATTTGATTATCTTATAAATAATATTTAACCATGCTGTTTGTTGTTTCTAACCAATAATCATGCACTGTTTTCGGAGTTATTATAGGTTGCTAAAGTCATTGAAGTTGCTCCGATTCGTGTGTATGAGGTGGCAACCTTTTATTCGATGTTCAACCGAACAAAGGTAGTTATTCTGCAATGAGTTTTTTGTTACACATTAGACATGTTTTTTATTTTATTTTATATTTTTTCCTTTGGTTTTCTTCATTAACTTAAGTTAATTGATGGCAATTAAAGGTTGGAAAATACCATCTTTTGGTATGCGGCACAACTCCTTGCATGATACGCGGTTCAAGAGAAATTGAAGAAGCATTGCTGAACCACTTGGGAGTAAAACGCAATGGTATGACTCCTATTCTACATTTGTGTTAATGAGTTGCTTTGATTAGGATAAAATAACAGTAAAAGAGAAGCTGTTTATTTCCTTTTGCAGAAGTAACGAAGGATGGCTTGTTTTCTGTTGGAGAAATGGAGTGTATGGTGAGTCTTCCCTGGAGATTATCTTTCAGTAGGAATTCCCTTCACTTTTGCTCAGTCTTTACCCCTCTACTATGGATAGTAAGGGTGTGATTGGATATGGATTTGATTGATTTTTTTGTTAACCATAGTCAATTTTAAAAATATAGTATGGTTAGTTGTGAGTGAGAATTTTAAATTAAAATAATATTTAAAATATAATAATAACTAAAGTTGATTTGATGTAAAAGCAGGAGAAAAATGATTGGAAATGATGGTTAGTTAAAATTATGTGAGTAGATGAAGAGTGAATTAAAGTTGACGTGATGTGTAAGAATGATCGGTGATATTATTTAATTATATTAATAATATTGAGGATAGTGGGGTTGGGTTAAAATTGAGTTAAATTCGAATTTTAATTGGTATTTTATGGTGAAGTTTATATCCAGTCACACCCTACCGGAATTTTGTTCAAACGTAAGGACACAACTTTGGGGTTAAAGGTCCACCACATGGGTCGCTCCACAGCCTCCACTGGTAGATATCATTTTGCAATAATAGTGTTAAGAGTAAAATTGTATTTTAGCTATATATTCTGAAGGGCATGTTTATATTGAACATTTGATTTCACCGGGTAGGGATCGATAGGAAACATAAATATTAAATACACAAGTAGGTGTAAATTATTTTTTCCTTTGGGCTTGGTAATCCTGATTATATGTGCTAAAAAATGTGAGTATTTATTGGGAAAAACTTAGATTCAAGCCATATATTATACAGCAACATTTACAATATACTCTTGTAGATGGCAATAATGAAATGAGAATGTTCTGCTGCACAGTACTCTGTTCATTTCATCTTTCTACTTTTGGCCCTATATCCTTATATTTCAAGTTCACTGGTTCCAAATTTTTTAAGTCTTTTTAACTTGAATTTCAGTAATAATGATATGATTTAATGTTTTTTTTTCATAGGGATGTTGCGTAAATGCTCCAATGATCACGGTTGCTGACTACTCGAATGGATCTGAGGGTTACACCTATAATTATTACGTGAGTTCCATATTTTTTCGGTTTCAAAACAAAACTATAGTTTCATCTTGTTGTGCCGTATAATAATAAAGAAATCAAGCGGTCTTTCAAATGTCTCAGGAAGATGTCTCTCCAAAACGAGTTGTTGAGATTGTCGAGGCTTTGAGGAGAGGGGAAAAGCCACCGGTAAGTCAATTCTTGTTGTATTTCGACCGTTTACTGTTTATCTAATCATTCTTTTAATTACCGTACTATTTTTTTTTCTTTGTGATATTTAACAGCGTGGCACACAAAACCCAAAACGCATCAACTCCGGGCCAGAAGGTGGGAACACTACATTGTTAGGTGAGCCCAAAGCTCCTCCATGTCGAGATCTTGATGCCTGCTGAACACCATAAAATTTACAATCTGTAGTTGTCCTTAATAATGATGAAAAACTTGTCTGTAAACCATGGATTACTCGAACGATTTTCATTTATTTTTTTTTCCCTTTATGTTCTTTGGCTCTCCATGCCTGGACATGAATGATATTGTTCGACTTTGAGCTGAGTTGGTCGATTTTGCATCGGGACATAATGCTTGTGTCCATCCGATAAAGTCCTCAATGCATTGTAATTTGCAAATTCTAGCTTGTGTAATTTGATACAATTTCGTATTGGTTTTGAATTCGCGATTACATTCACCAATAAGGTACTTTTGAAGGTAAGGGAAAATGAAAAACCCATGCTTCAAGTAACATCTTGATTTTCAAATTTATTTGAATTACAATTGAACTTCAAAAAAAACTATTTCATAATTTAGTTTAGATAATAACCTAATTCAGCTCTTGTATAAAGTTGCAGGATATGTATCAACCATCAGATATGTATGTATCAACCAGTTCAACACTATTATAAAGAATGAAATGCACCACTTTTGAACTACATGCTCGTGGTATCAAATTAAGCTAAAGTAGTAAATTGATATCTCCGTAAACGTTGGTGAAAATTTGTTAACCAACGTTGGATATTGTCCTCCAATTGGTCAGTTTTAAAAATTACGAGAAATTATTGATTAACCGGATTCGAATGCGACTGCTTTGATACATTCAAATTTACAAAACTGCTTTTGAAATTTCATCTAGTATCTTAATTTTTATGTGCGAGTGTGTGTGTGTGTGTGTAGAGAGAGAGAGAGAGAGAGAGAGAGAGAGAGAGGGCAAATAAAAAGTACACACAACAAAAAAGGTCTGATTAGCCCCAGCCCCAGATCAGAGAGCTTGGTTGCTTCTTGATTTGCAAAATTTTGCATGATATAATTTTTAATTATCCAAACACAGGCACAACCTAAGAAGATATCAACGTAAAGTTCTAAGAGTTCAAGACAACTGATAAATGGTGGCCTAAGAAATAAAAGAAAATAATGAGCATAAGTATATACACACACAGATGGGAAGAGAAAAATCTAACTTTGTTCGTTCAATTCGTTATTTGGTCTTGAGCCTG